TCGCCCGCCCGTCATCCGCCCGCCGTCGCAATAGTTTTTAAAGATTTGAAGAGGTCGACGTCTCAGATTTTGGTGCTTGCTTTACTGAATTTTTTGAAGGAGTTTGAAATACATGATGATGCTAGTGGTGAGCATATAGTAGCGGTTTTGGTGCAGGATAAGAGTACGATAGCTTATATGTCAAAGGAATTGGGACCGCAGAAGAGGGCTTGAAGAACTTATGCTCGAGAGATATTTAGAGTCGTGCATGTCATGAAGGTTTCGAAGCAATATTTATTGGAAAGAAAATTCAAGATCAAGAAGGATCAGCAAGTTTTGAAGCACTTGTTGGAGGAGAAGATTATTACTTCCAAATAGTAGAAGTAAGCTTCTAAGCTTTGAGTTTGACATTATATATCAGCCCAGGAAGGAGAATAGAGTTGTCGATGCATTATCTCAGAAGTAGGGTAGTCTAATGTTGTGGTTGGTATGTAGCAAGGTGGTGGCGAGCTTACATGCCATTAGTAGCGCTGATTGGAGAGTGTGGGATCGTATTCGTCAGGCTGTGAAGTTGGATGAGCGAGCTATGGATATTTGTGATGGGTTGGGCAAGGAGACTCAAGGATACTTAGATATGAGTTTCGAGATGGGCTATTTTTCTACAAGAGCCACATATATATTCCTAGAGTACCAGGCTTGAGGGACGATATTCTATCTCATTTTCACACCATTCAGGTTGACTTTGGACGTGTATCAGGGTGAAGTATCTTTCTATTAGGAAGGACTAAAGGCAATGGTGAAGGCAAAAGTAACGGAGCGTGATGTGTGTTAGAAGATAAAATATGATCAAAGGGCTACAGATGGGCTTGATGCAATCTTTGACGATTCCAGAGAAGATTTGGAAGGGGTTGACGAAGGACGAGGCTGCGTAAGAAGACTAAGATGAGCTCAAGGAGAGGTTTCTTGATCTTACACTTGAGGACAAGTGTAGTCTCGAATGAGGGGAGAATGATATGATTTCGGAGCCATTGGTGCGTGGGAGTGATCGTGCTTGCCCAGTGCGTAATTACAATAAACTACATAATGAAGGAATCCAAGTCTTAATAGGATTTGGTTTGATTATAAATATGATTTATTTTAGGAAGTAGAGAAATGTCTAGGCAGTACGGAATTGTTTAGGCAAATAGCAATTGGTTAGGAAATAGGAAATTGTTTAGGAGTAGGAATTTGTTTACAAATATGATTTGTTATTAAGCCAAAACAAAGGCTGTTTAAGGCCAGCCAAATATTAGGGTTTTATTATGTTTTTTTGTGATTGAAAACTTCGAAGAATTTATCAATAGAATTAGAATTTATTATTTTGGGAATTGCAGATTAGTTCTTGGTGTTCTTGGACTACTTATTTGCTCGATTCGTCAGTGACTGCGTAGGGATTTTACACCGCTTAATTCGTTAGTGGTATAAAGTCAAATTTGAGCTCTCATCAATTTGGCAAACACGTCCCCAAGTTTTACCGCTCTCTTCTAAGAAGTTCCCAACTTTCTTCCTTTACAATGAAATCTCTAAGTTAATGAGAAGAATTGGTGATGGGGTCGTAGCATACCCTACGGTCAAATTTGATGCATTGATAAGTTTATCAACTACATAAGAGGGATGTGGGATGCTAACTTAAAAATGCATACCCTACGGTCGTCACACGAGCATCGAGCACCAGATGTCTTCGGTTGAGAATCCTGTACAACATTTAAAAAAAAAAAATCTAGACAATAAATAGCCGTCAGTTTTCAATCCGCTAGCTTTACAATAGATGCATCTGTCTTAGAGACTGCAGATAACAAAGCTCAATTTGGAATACTTCGGATTCAAGGTGGGGAAATAGATTGGTTGGTCGACAGTACAAATTACCTGCTTGGCTTTCTGGACTCATCATGGCATATGCATAAAAGAACATGTATAATGGATCTTATGTCTTGCGAATTCACAGCACTTCCTTCGCTCGAATCTTCACGTCCACTTTCGCCGCTGCAAAAGCCACATCTACTCCTCTATACAAATGGGAGAACCCAAGATTCATTATTCATGCTACAGTAGGATTTTTATGTAGCATTGTTACTGTAGCAAAACGAAACTGGATAAAGCGACGTTTTGATAAAAATGTTACTGTAGCAATTCAAAAAATTCAATATTGTAGCAGTTAAAACCGGGATTCTGTAGCGGAAAAAATATGCCGTGCTTTGCACGGTGTTGACACTAGTTTTCCTTAATGATAGGATCAGCAAGACTTGCTGGAGTATGACTACCCAGAGGAACTGGTTAGTAAAAATCAAAATTCCTGTGCAAGCATCGGACCATACCTCTGAGAGAAGCCTCCATTGGCCGAGGCCCCCGATGTTTTACCAGGATTATTGTTTGCTCTTGCCTGTGATCATATTCAAACTGCCTAAACTTCCTTTTGAGCCCTGGATGGGGCTTTTTTCCTTGCTCATTTCACGTGTGAATCTGATGTCATACATAACCATTGATTGCGAAATCTTAGTAGGGAGCTCACAGAGGCCTCAGCATTGTTATTTGGAGAAGGCGTAGCTTAAGGACTTCACTGGTGAGAACCCTATACGAATATTGATAGACAGAAGCAAATTGGTAGTGGCATTCTGAACTTAAAGAACCACAAAAACAAATATTCTTGAGCACAGGATCTCATATTCTCTTCGGTTGAAGAATATACCGGTGGAACAGATGGACGAGCATACACTCGATGAGGATGCATGACAATTGACGGTGGCGGTGTTCCATACGGAGGGAGGCATCATACGCTGCAAAGGAAAGGAATGTTCATGAGCGACAATGGAAAAACACTGCAATCTTGGGGAACTCACCCGGCACTCGATTTTGCGAGCTTTAAGTGTACAAATCACTCCTACTTCTGTATTTTGCTTCCCATTCATGAAGATGATTAACCAGTCATCTCAATGTCAACATGCACCTGTAGAATTACCCAGATGGAAAGATGAAGTCCTAAAAGCATAACCACAATGCCCCAGTTGCTTTAGGCATTAAGAAATATAAGAGCCATCGACATCAAGCCCTTAAACATATTTGTATACTATTATTGTTACAATTATAGCTACGACAAAAATGAAGGTAGTTATGGCTGGATGTTCTTGTCGTAGTTATATTTGCCACTTCGACTTCAGCAAAGATGAAGAAACCAGTGAAGTCATCGAATTAACTGCCATCTCGTAAAGTGTTCCAAGTAGGGTGCATTCGGTCCGGATACGGCTCGGATATGATGCTTACCATATCCATATCCGCTTACACATCTCAGATACGGATACAGATATATCTCGGTAAAAAAAATTCATATCCGCTAAAATCGGATACGGTTACGGATATAGATGCGGATATATAAGCGAATATGCATGCGGATACAAAACGAATATGAGAAAACTAGATAATATTGAGATAAACATAGTTCATGTGAAACGAAAGAGATCCTTAATATGTTCATTATAGCTAAAAAGCTAAGATTAGACATCTTGATTATCAAAATTAACCACAAATCCATAATTTAAGAATCGAAACTATCGTATGAATATGACTAATGTGCATTCGGACATTTCGGATACGGATATTTCACTACAAAACCATACTTGTAACCATATCCTATCGGTTATAGATTTGAGTAACCATATTCGTATCCTAACGGATACGGTTACGATACGGTTTAGCACCCCTAGTTCCAAGAAACAAACTGAACCCACTGTTACTCTAAAAATCAAGCTCTCTCCAAGTCATCTGTTAGCTCATTCCAAACTAAAAGTTGCTAGTGTAAACTCTCAGTGTTTAGCATAAAGCATGACAAAAACACAAAAAACGATACAAATGAAGAGCACCTGAGGTCCCCACATGTAAGGATGAGCCGGGAACCTGATGCCACCGGTGAAGAAAAGAACCCATGGGGCGGACTTGGCGGATATGCCTATTATCCAAATCAATTCCACAATAATAATCAGCTTCCTTAACTAACTGAGCTCTTCAAAAACGTTAAAAGGGAAAGAATCTCCAAAGAGACCGAAACATCCTCAAGCCTGCATACTTAGTTCCCGCACAATATCAGACATCATAAATAAATAAGAACTTCAATCTCGAGTTCAAGTTGAATACACCATTCATCAAGACACACGACCATCAAAATGATTAAAGATAAGTCGAGATCCTGAGAAATGAGAGAGGCAAAAGTACAATCTTCAACTAGGTATATGATTATGAGAGTACTATAAATGGACATATCCGAAAACTGATAAGACCTAATACATATTGCTGCGGTCTTCAAACATAGGACTATGGCGTTTCTGCTATTATCATGACATCTTAGACAAACTCATTGAAAAGAGACACTCGTCGACGTTTTCCTACTGATAATAATGTAGTTCTATCCGAGGAAGTTCATGATCACAAGGTGGAGAACCAGATTGCAGAGAACAAAATCGGCAAAAGCTCGCTCCGGTGGCAAGTCCTGCAACAAGAGGGTGGATTTGTTAATAAAAAGAAGTGCAGCTCACAGGCAATACGATGTTTTCTGGATAAGTTGATTTAAAGGAAAGGAATGTTCATGAGCGACAATGGAAAAACACTGCAATCTTGGGGAACTCACCCGGCACTCGATTTTGCGAGCTTTAAGTGTACAAATCACTCCTACTTCTGTATTTTGCTTCCCATTCATGAAGATGATTAACCAGTCATCTCAATGTCAACATGCACCTGTAGAATTACCCAGATGGAAAGATGAAGTCCTAAAAGCATAACCACAATGCCCCAGTTGCTTTAGGCATTAAGAAATATAAGAGCCATCGACATCAAGCCCTTAAACATATTTGTATACTATTATTGTTACAATTATAGCTACGACAAAAATGAAGGTAGTTATGGCTGGATGTTCTTGTCGTAGTTATATTTGCCACTTCGACTTCAGCAAAGATGAAGAAACCAGTGAAGTCATCGAATTAACTGCCATCTCGTAAAGTGTTCCAAGTAGGGTGCATTCGGTCCGGATACGGCTCGGATATGATGCTTACCA